GTTACATTAGAATTAGTTACTCGCATATTTTTTTGACCCCATTTACATCAAAAATACAGTGGCTGAATTAAGTGTTAAAAAACGTCCTCTTGGGACTTAATGGGTTAATTTGCGGCTATCACGATTTTTTCCATTTTTATATTATAAAACAACGGAATTTAAAGTATTTATGATAAATAATGAATTCGTATGTTCACATCAAACAAATAAATTGTATATAAATAGTATTTGATACAAAACAATAATTGCAAAAAGTTAAGAAATTTATCTAATGGTAAAAATATTTGCTATATGAGATATTGTCATTGATTTTCTTAAAACTAAATACCCTTGTAATATTTTTATCAAATGAGGGTAAATACTTTTTCTTAGTTATATTTTGCAAAAAGAATCTAGTCCAATAATAAAATAATACTTTTACTGAATTTTGAAAACAATAGTTTAACGTAATGTATTCTTATTCGATAATGTCTTAACCATAAAATGTGCTGAGCGCCAATCGATCCGACCTCATATCGCTTATCACATCGCGTCGAAAAATTAGTCATCAACTTCTGTTTCTACTCCACGATTGTTCGGAAGCTGAAGCAAATATAAGATAAAAACAATTTCCTCCCATGTTAATGACCGCCGCTATTAAAAATACTGTATGCCACCGTTCAAGAGATTCCTGAAAAATGTTTTTTTAAATATAATTAAATAGTTATTTAATAAAATAAATTTTCAAAACAAAAAAAATATGAAAAACAAAAACTTACGTGACCATTGACAATTTGTCCTATTATATAAGGAGCGAGAAATCCGCAAGTGTTAGCAAGAGAGTTAGTGATTCCATATAAAGTTCCGGCGTAACGAGGTGCAAGAGCTATGTGGTTTATTTGATTTCCTGCATAAACAGCCCCATAAAATGCTCCAAAACCAGACAACATGAACATCACAGTGATACGATCACACTTGGCCCAAATGGCTCCCAAAAAACTTAAACTTGGCCCTAGGCATGACACAGTATTCCACACTTTCAATGATGTGAGGGGTGACAAAATATTACGAGCCAATAATGCATCAGCAATGGCTGAAAGGAATAATCCTAATATCCAAGGTGTAAAGTAAGGTAGAGCAGATAAAAATGCATCTTTTTGCACGTCAAAATGCAGAATCCGATCCATGTAAGTCGGAAGTTCATTTAAAAGGGTGTAAAATGCCCAAGCTTGACCACATTGAGTAATAGCAATAGCCCACATTGGAAGAGATGTGAATATTGATAGCCATGGTACACTATCATTTTCCCCCTAGAAATATAAAAAATTGCAATTTTTGATAGGTACAAATAGATGGAAAATTATAGTAATTAAACAGAAAATTATGGAACAAGGGAGGAGAAAAATAGAATGTCTCAGATCATATGCAATTCATCAACAGATGCAAAGGTAAATAAGGTAACATTTTAAGAACTTAAAAAAAAAAAATTGCAGTCTCATAAGGAAAACATGATTGACTATAAATAACTTACATCATGCTTTGGTTCCACTTTCGATTCAATGTAAGCTCTTTCTTGAGGATCTATTCTAGGATGTTGAGCTGGTGTATCATATACAAATAATAACCAAAACACATACCAAATCATACCAAGGATGCCAAATAAATAAAATGAAAGAGGCCATCCACCCCATAAATCTAGAGAGCACAAATAACCAGCTACTGGTAATGATATAACAGTTCCAAAATTAGCACCTACAAATTTTAAATATTAATATTTATATTATTATTACTCTAATAAAGTATTAGGATTATAATATCCAAACCTGCATATACCAAGGCAGCAAATTTACTCCTTTCACATGGAGGTATCCAATGTGCCAACATTGTGTGCATGGATGGATATGTTACACCCTTTAATAACAATAAAATCATGAGTTTTTAAAAAATTGCAATTTTTTAAGAGAGTTCCATCTTTATCATATTTACCTCAGTAATACCTTCTGCTACTCTGATGATTAAAAAAGGATACAAGCCTAAACTGGTTTGATCCATGTATGCAGCAAAGGGGCTTATGACAGTTAACACTGATGTCAAAAATACTCCTAATCCATAAATCAATTTTCCTCCCTTTTTTTCTGCAAGTCTTCCTCCAGGTACATTAGTCATTACGTAACCCAAGAAAAATGCACCTAGTATAAGGCCTTGTGTTTTTTCATCCCAGTTGAATTCACCTTTACTCTGAAAATAAAATATATTAACATCAATAAACATGAGATTAATCCTATTTCACAATGTAGTATTGCAAGAAAAATAAAATATTAAATTAAAAATACTTACTGGAATAATAGTACTGTTATTAGAATTTGTATTATTATAAGGACAGGAATCTACAACATCATCATTTGGATCAACTGAGTTTGTTTGGTTGACCATTGATACTATTGCCACAGTTAAATTGACCCTCATTGCATAAACTAATGCAAATCCCATAAAGCCAAGAAAACCAAAAACTTGTCTTGATTTTATACATGCTTTACTGTCTTCAATATCATGTGTTGAAGTTGAAGCTGCAAAAACACAGATAAATAGTTAAAAAATTATGAAATTCAGATTAAATATTCAATTTGTGCATAAGAAATTTCTACTTTTTATGTAATGCTTTTTTCTTATTTGTAATATGATTTTGATGTAACTTATCTATAAACTGATATTGTTAACGCTAAAGTGTTAAATGACTAGTGTTTATCTTACAGTGCTTTTCATTTATTTCTTTATTGATTCATTTTTTTGATTAAAAATGAAAAAAATAAAAATTTATTACTCATTAAGAGATGTAACATAATACATGTTTAGTTATTTTTTTTACTAAAATTTATTTTTTTAACATTAATGATAATTTCTCATATGTTTAATAAGTAAAAGATTATATGAATAATATATATTATATTGAATCATCATAGATAAAAAAGTCCTAAGTAGTTTTTTGAAGTATAATATTCATAATTTTCTCTCTTCAAATACATGAATTATCATTAATTTCAAAATAGACATGAAGAATACATCAATTTAAATTGAAATATCGCACTTCCAATGACTCAAGCATCTGCTAAATAATCTATGATGGAACGAAAAAAGAAAAAATTTTTCTCATTAAATTTGCTAATTCAAATCGACAGCTAGATACTGCAAATCTCAGCAGCCTTGGAATTGAGTCTCTCTCATTTAATGTATGTATAAGCTCAAAGGAAAATAACCATTCGTATTAGCTATACATGTGTAAATATGCTATACTATTATGATGATATCGCGCAATGTGTCACTCACTCCGTTAGTCAGTTTGCAGAGCAAAGTTTATAATCCGATTCGATGAAATCGGGTTTCGCGCATTTATCGATACATTTTTCAGTCAGATAAAAGCCGTGTCATGTCATGTCAATACTTCCCGCGGCAAACAAAGAGCATACGCGAAGTGTCATGTGCAGAGACTCATAAACGTTCAAAAATGCAAAAACGCGGGGACATGCATTAGCAGACGGACTTATTGGCACACAATGCACTCTATTATACCTTTTTGCAGGGAGTCATGGTCGGTAAGAGGTGCATCGTCCCGCGAAACACTCGGGTCAAGAACTTCCATGATGCAACTATTTGTAGCTAACGACGTCACCCGTTGATCTGGGCACCCTGTGGCGCCGATTTCACGGTCCTCGAAAACTACGCCGTAATTTCTGGTGTTTTGTTTGTTATGGAAGTCGAGGCACGGGCGGACGCGAATCCAGCGTGCGAGGCAGCGATTGCGTCTAAAAGCTGATTACTGCTTCTCCTCGCAGCTCGCTCGGCTGCTGTTGTTGGCGTTGCTGAGGCTGACTTTCACATTCACGCACACCATCGTTTTTTTCACGCTCGTACAGCTGCTAGTCTCTGCGCGACTCACTATATACATGTATATATGTACATAGCAGCGGCATATAATAATCACAAGTATACTGTTGCTGTGTTCTTTGCTGCACACTGACATTCCTCCATGACAGTGTGTCTGTTTGTGTGGGTCTACTCTGTACTCTGTAGACTATCTGACGTCTGTAGGCTTTTATTATGTGCCTCGTTCTCGCATCCGTAACATGCGCGCGCATATATAGCGTAATAGGCAGGCAGTAGGCAGGACAGAGACGACGGGACAATCCAAACCAAACAAATACACGAGTCTGAAATCGTCTGCTCAGATCGTATATTTTGTCAATATTTCAGGTATTCATTTATGCTCGGTCACCAAGTCCACAACTATTTTTTACATCTTAATATATATTTACTTTTCACAGTATTTCAAGTCCTAACGTTGTCAAATTTTTAACAAAGGAATGATGTTTTTACAGAATAAGATTTTTATTGAATTAATTATGATTAGATTATAATCCTTGAACTGTCCCAATCTTTAGTTTTTTGTAGTCCATCAATTTATAACTTGCTTGCATGAATCAGGATGATTAGATAAAATATCTAACCACTTCTTTCATCTACAACCTTTAAAGAAAGATTGTATTAAAGATGATAAGCAATGAATTGAATGGTGTTTGGTTAAATAGCTTATTTTATGTGATAAAAACTACACTGAACTGCTATCGTTAAAGTTATTTCCATAATAATTATATACCATCAGATGGTTTAGCAAAATTCCATGATTACCGTTTTGGTAGAGGAAACTTTCAACTTTTAGGCATAGATAGTGCTGCAGTACACTTTTAAAATTGGAAAAACACATTAGTGTTCTGGCAATGTATCATTAAGATCAAGTCCAATAAAAATACTTTACTACTACTTGGAAAAACACTTGTCTGTCAAGTATATTACGAAATCAATGAATTTGGCGAAATAATATTCATCTGTTTTGCAATTTTCGCGTTAAGCTTCACAATATTGAGTATTTGATTTTGTTAACTTAATTTTTAATTATGAGCAAGAGGTTTTATCTCAAAAAGTTCATATGTAAAACTCTAATATAGGCAGTTTCCATTTTTTTCCTAGGTACTTTGGGTATCTCTTAAAAAATATAATGAAAATTTTAAATAAATGCTCATTACAGTTTTCAACACGAAATTACTTGAGATCTTACGTTATATCTTATACGTTTAATCTTACGTAATAGTATTACTGTTGACCTAAAAATATTGAAAAGTTCATTTCCAGAGAGCGGACCTAGTGGGTGTTAAGTTTGTGGGTCGCTGAATCAGAATGCGGCATCAGTTTTTCATAGCTTATTTACAAGGTTATTTGAAGATCAGATTGAGAAAAAGTAGTAAACAAAAGTTGAAAAAATCCATAACAATATTTTTGTACCAAAAAAGAGAAGCAGCAGTTGTGCCTAGATAGGAAGCTGCAGCTCTGCCTGAATGGGAGTAGTGAATTGGGATGGTGGCTGCGCCTAAATGAGTACCGCTGCTGTGCCTTGATGTGGGCAACTGCCGTGCCTTCCGAACGAGCCGCAGCTGTACCAAAATCTTCCCATCCAGGCACAGTTGCTACCTCTATCTAGACAATAATGCTGCTCCTCTTATTTGGCACAAAAACCTTGCTATGGATTTTTTCAGCTGTTTTTACTACTTTTTCTCAGTCTGACCTTTAAATGACCTTAAAAATGAGCCAACCCAGAAAAATTAATGCCAGATTTGGATTTAGCGATCCCAAAAATTAAAACCACTCGGTCTCGTCTTTGGAACAGAATTTTTAAAATTTTTTGTATGCTGGTGTAATTATTAACTAGAAAAAATTATGTTTTTCTCGTTGATTTTTTGGTCAAGACGTTACATAAGACTTTACGTAAATGTTTTTATAAGTTATTACTTAAGTTCTTACCTAAGAACTTATTTCCATTTTCCAACTTTTGAGTTGAAGCAGTTTTTGCATAAAAACTCAGATAAAAAGTTGGGTAAAAATTTATACTGTTGATAATCATACACTCTAAACCCAAAAGAGTAATTTTCGAACCTCAAAGGTGTCAACTGCGTTATTTACTCTTTTGAAAAGAGTAAATGAGCGCTAGAACTTAAAAGAGTAATCTGCGCTATTTACTCTTTTTAAAAGCTCACTTGAGCACTAGAACTTAAAAGAGTAAATAACGTAGATTACTCTTTTTCGAAAAATGCTGAGTAGAGAAAAGCGTAATTCATTCCAATTTCTTTTTTTGGAAAAGATTACTTTGTGCTTAAGAATTTTGCGCTCAGATTACTCTCTTTGAATAAAAAGAAATATTTTTTTATATATATGGGTCAAAATAATACTTTTTTACAAAACCGTGCGCACGTATGTCACCGATCTTGACGCGCTTTTGGTATGTTATAGTACATGGTAAAAAGGTCCCAAAAAAAAATTTTTAGACCCCCTCCCCCCTCCTACCCCCCACTTCCGGTATAAACGTCCATTTTCGATCTATATTTTTTCTGAGGACATGAAGCAAGTAAAAAATCTGAAAAAATTCATAAAAATACTTTTCCACAATCCAAACAACCTTGAATTTTTTCAGATTTTTTGAGTGCTTCAGGCCTTCAGATAAAATCATTGAAAATTTCAAAAATCGAGATACGGCGGTATGAGCCGATGTAGTACTCGGAAATTTTTTCAGTTATTTTTCGCATTAAAAAACATAACCTCAATTTTTTTCAGATTTTTTCAGATTACCTAACGCACCTTTTGAAGCCAAAAACCGATTTTTTTGACGAAAATAATTTTTTTAGGACAGTACGGAGCCTCGAAAAATCTGAAAAAAATTTTTTCTTGTTTTTTTCATCAAAATACGTAATCTCAAATTTTTTCAGATTTTTTAATTGAAGGCGATAGCTTCTAGGGCCGAAAAATGCTATTTTTAACAAAAAATGGTTCCTAGAACCCGATGGTTCCGGTGAAAAAATTTGAAAATATTTTTTTTGAATTCCTTGTCAAATTTTAATAAATTTTGACCGTTTCAAAAGTTCGATTGAAGCTTCCTAGCTCATTTTAGAGCATCAAACGAGTTTTATCATTCCTTAATGTCTTCAGAAACGTCTTCAGATATTTTGCACTAATCTTTGTCCTGCTCTAAAATGAGCTAGGAAGCTTCAATCGAACTTTTGAAACGGTCAAAATTTATTAAAATTTGACAAGGAATTCAAAAAAAATATTTTCAAATTTTTTCACCGGAACCATCGGGTTCTAGGAACCATTTTTTGTTAAAAATAGCATTTTTCGGCCCTAGAAGCTATCGCCTTCAATTAAAAAATCTGAAAAAATTTGAGATTACGTATTTTGATGAAAAAAACAAGAAAAAATTTTTTTCAGATTTTTCGAGGCTCCGTACTGTCCTAAAAAAATTATTTTCGTCAAAAAAATCGGTTTTTGGCTTCAAAAGGTGCGTTAGGTAATCTGAAAAAATCTGAAAAAAATTGAGGTTATGTTTTTTAATGCGAAAAATAACTGAAAAAATTTCCGAGTACTACATCGGCTCATACCGCCGTATCTCGATTTTTGAAATTTTCAATGATTTTATCTGAAGGCCTGAAGCACTCAAAAAATCTGAAAAAATTCAAGGTTGTTTGGATTGTGGAAAAGTATTTTTATGAATTTTTTCAGATTTTTTACTTGCTTCATGTCCTCAGAAAAAATATAGATCGAAAATGGACGTTTATACCGGAAGTGGGGGGTAGGAGGGGGGAGGGGGTCTAAAAATTTTTTTTTGGGACCTTTTTACCATGTACTATAACATACCAAAAGCGCGTCAAGATCGGTGACATACGTGCGCACGGTTTTGTAAAAAAGTATTATTTTGACCCATATATATATATATACATGAATATATTAAAGGAACTTATATTAAATATTCTGTTATATCTATATCTATATTATTCAGTAAAAAAGCGGGACAAAGAGCTTCAACAATGCAATAAAAACTATTCTTGTAAGTGTGGCCAAAACTATTTCGCGAAAAATATTCTCATTATTGCAAGTATAAAAAGTAAATTATTTAAAAAATTTAGCCGTATACGTAAAATCTTAATGAAATTTTCTGTCAAGAATTTGCATAAGAACAATTCAATATTTTCATTGGGGTAGGCGAATTGGGTAATTGGGTAATTCGGTTACGTCTTAAAATCATAGATTATTGGAATCCGCCTAGCTAGGCTATTCTGGCTTTTCCTAAATTTGAATTTTGTCGGTAAACACATTAAAATTTACATGAATTGCAATTAGAAGTGTCAAGAATAGTAATGATTAAATTAATATTATATTTCATCAAATATATCATCAAATATGTCATAGTATTATTAAAAAACTAATATTTAAAATAATAATTATTACGGTCCAAGATAAATTAAATTAATTATACAAGTGTCGAAAGAGAAATCCTTTCTGCGAAATTGGTTGGTTTGATAAAAAAGCTCTATTTTTTACACTTTCGTTCATTAAAAGTCGGGTTTTACATTCGAATGGATTTTATGAATCCTGCAAAGAGAAATAAAAGACTCGTTTCAACGTTGAACGATAGAAGCATAAGTTGTATTTGGCTATATATAAGTTGGAGCGTGGCTAGGCTTGGTCTAGAGTTGGGTAGTCGCGCGACCAGCCAAAGACTTAACAAGTAAACAAGAAAGTTTCACAGGCAGCTCCTCT